TCAAATAACTAATTAAAATCAAACTCATCAAAAAAATGGACACTTGAACATACATCAGTGTGATAACAACTACCTAAAATGACAAAAAACATATTTGGTAAAATTATTAGACTTTTACGTGTACTTTGATGTTTCAGTTTGGCCCATGTGGGGAGGTGCAGGTTTGCATCAATACTTTAAACATGTTTCATGAGGAAGGAAATGCACTTTGTTAGACCTCAAAGATACACATAATGTGTTTTTGTGAGTGAATATAAGGGCACCTTTAATTGAAATGACACATATTACCTCTGTTGGTTATATATTACAGTCTTTTATAGTACACAATGCAGTCCTATCTTTTCTTCAGTAACCAGACTTCACTTTCCTCTCACCTTATTCAGTCAAGTGTTTTAAGAGGCCCTCTTGAAGCCTAGAGGACATTTAGGCTGCCTTATGGATTTCATTAGAGCCTTTGTGTAGACTTTGTGTTTGTCTTTATTAAATGATAAATTTACAACCCACCCTTTCTCCTTTGATTCCTGCACCCTGCTGTCCCCTCGGCCCCCTCGGTCCAGGAAGCCCCCGATCCCCCTGTGGAACAAAATCAGGTTATCGCTGTCAGTTACATCACAGCTACTTGGCATTGGGTCACAGCCAAGCTCTGCATTGTTCTCAGTGAAGAAAGTATGGAAGAAGAGCATGTTTGTTCCTGTTACCCTCTTGTGATTGATTACATTAAAAAAAATCCAACCCACAAGGAATGGAAATTTTTTTTCTTCATGGCATTTCTCGACTGCATGATTCTTTAACCTTTTCCACGACCGGTTGATGGGAACAGCATGAGCAACATCCAAGTGTAATGAAGTGCAGACATGCAGACTTGATCATACTAACTCTACGTGTCTGTGTTTATGTGTGTGGAGTGGGTTTATTCACCTCTGACAGAAGCACTCTGATCCCTTTTTACAAGCGGTAGAAGTCAGCAGAGGAGTAAAATCTATAACAGCTAGGAAGTCTGGTGTAGATCAAACAGATGTGTAGTAGCTTGAGGACATTTCCTGTCTTCAATTTCTAAGAGCTTTCTAACAAATAAAAGTGTACTCTGTTCTTTACAGAATAGCCTCAAAACCACATAGATATGCTCCTTCCTTTGTCATTTTTACCTACAAGTTCTGTCTTGTCTTTTTACTCTTACTTGGGTATTATACAATAATCTCACTTCATTGCAGTTTGTTTTTTTCTGTGCTGTTGCAAAGTAAGACGTGCTTTAAATAATAATCTTGATGCATATGCCTAGCAATCCCAGCTATATATTCTTGAAAGGGGTATTTGCAGAATCTATTGAAAAAACTGTATATGTCCCATAATGCAGCATGTTGCAGCACGGGAGGGGAAAGAAATACTGTTTGTACAGGCTTAACACATCAACAACAGTAAGTAGTAATGCTACAGTGAACACCTGAGTTGTGAGTCAGTGAGTTGGAACTGAGTGAGATCTGCTTTTGACAGATGCAGGCAATGAGCTGCAGAATGGCCCAGATACTGTACATACACGAAGACACGTAGTTCACACTCATCTGTAAGAAGGTCAAAACAATGTGTTTTTCTTTATTGTATTTTTGGATCTGAGCGTTATATGCCAATTTATAGCCACACACAGTATTTATCAGCAACTTTTGTTTTACTACTAGAATCTAGCAGCTGATTGTTTATGCAAGTAGGTTTTGAAGCTGTTAGTTACTGGTAATGGCTAATGTACCAATAATCTATAATTGCTTTTAGACATGATGAATCATCAGTTAAAGAATATCTACAGCCCCTAAATTGTATATTTATATCAGATATCACATCCAGCGTGGGAGCAACACAGATACAAACACAGGCAAAGCGAAATAAAGCTTTGACATGACTGAATACAGCAGAGCTTAAAGTAAAGGATCAAATTAAAGGATTTGTTCATATCCAACTTTGTCGCATTATCTAGGGTTTGGGTACTTGTAGAAGAAGAAGAAGATATACTTTATTAATCCCCAATGGTGAAGTTCTTGTAGGTGGGGTTTCAAGGGTACTATACCAAAAACTGTTTGATGGAAACGTTGCTTTAGAGTGCAGCAAGTTCTGGTCTTTCACATATTTACTGACTTCTTTAATTAAACTTTCTGGTAAAGCTACAAGTAACTTTCCTTTTGTGTTGATTCTGGTGGGCCCTGTGTGTGTAGGAGTGTTCACGTTACCTTGTTTCATTTGATGTCAATGGGAATCTGACTGAATCTGACCCAGTGGAATAACTACATATAATAGCCAATCTTCTGGCTGATGTTTATGTTTATGTATCTTGTTTATGTAGGACATACAGTCACATAAGAATTTTAGACTGTCATAACCAGTTACAAACTCCTTGTAGTAGGTTTAATTTAGGCTTTTACTTACTTTTCGAACAACCTTGTGTATTAGATGTGTTCAGTTCCACATACTTACGCATGAGCAGCTGCACTGAAGGTTAAGTGTTTTTCTGAAGAGACTAATTAATGCAGGAGCTAGTGGGGTCTTTTTTCTAATATATATTTTAATAAATATCTGTCTTCTGTGTTTGATTGATATGTGCAACCTGGCTAATACTTTAGTTTTCAAGAGTTCTCTGATGATAGATAATACCTTTGGTCCGGGAAACCCCTCGCCATGGGGTCCTTTATCCCCTGGAACACCTTGTGGTCCTTGAGGTCCCTATAAACAAAGTCAGAGAGTATAATATGTCACCCAAACAGTGCTCAGGTCAAAGTACCTGTATGGGTTTTCTCTACAGATCACAAAAATCGACACCACAGACAGATAAACATTCATCTGTTTGCAATAGCACAGACTGTTACTTCTAAACTTACAGGAAGGCCGGGTTCACCCACTCCAGGAGGACCAGGAGGACCAGATCGCCCCTGAAATCCCATGTCACCCTGCAGATTTACATAGAAACTTAATTGAATAAGTGAAACCCAAAGAAATGCAAATAGCAAACAATCACAAAGTACAAGAACATATTCAGAGGATCGTCCATAGCATTATTTACCTTTGGTCCAGGAAATCCAATACCAATTTCTCCCTGAATTCCTGGAGGGCCAGGTGGGCCACGTTCACCCTGTTATCACAAACATGATAACAGTTAGCACACAACATCCTTTAAAATCACTTTTCTGTCTTATTTATCCTCTCCTGTGCAGATACGATGCTCCTTTGAAGCTAAAAATAATGCTGCAAATCCTGCGTACTAAACGAGGTGGTGGTATAGATATTTGATCTCTTCCTGCAGGTCAGGACATATAAGAGCTTAACTTGAGCTCCAGTACTGTCTCAAATTTCAAGAAAGCCCAAACAACAGTGTTTTTAAAATAACAAAGAACTGCTGGAAGCTCTTCACAGCATCAATTCAAGGATTAATTACAATATCTGCTTGCCTTTAGGTAATTTTGATCTAAAATAAAAAACTTTTTATGTAAGGCCAAGACTTACATAAAAAGATGTTATGTAATTGGGAGTTTCACAATATGTATTTTTTCTAGAAATATATATAAATAAAATGAATATGTGAAAAGGCTTGTCTTACATGAGTCTCTTTTGGACAACTCATACTACAAAAGGACCACCAAGAGTCAAATGCTTCCTACATGTCCTCACATGGCGAGACACTGAGCATACACTAACTTTCCATGTATGTTATTAACTGGAGGCCTTGTTGGAGAAGCTGACGATGCTGTAGGCACTTCCTAGGCTGTAGTTAGTAACAGGATACAACCCCTTAGGAAAACCTGTAGTAAGATTCGGTGGTGGTGAATAACAGTAATGATGGTGGAAGATGTTGGCTTATTGCCAAATGTTCACACAGGGGTCTATTACCAGACAAGCAGGCCTCTGTGCTGCATGGTAAAGATCAGGGTGGTAAAGCTCCAACCTATTGTTTAAACTAATCATAAAAGGAAAAGTAAAGGTCACAGCAGATGTACACGGTGAGGTAAGTAAAAGTTGTTCGAAAGGGGCTGACCTGCTTTCCCTGAGGACCCTCTGGTCCAACGTCTCCATGTGGTCCTGGTAACCCCTGGACAGAAACGACATACAGCCATTAATAAAGAACCATCCAGTAAGACATGGGACATTTTGTGGTGATTTCTGCAGCTATTTTCTTCAATATAAAGGAGATTTCCTCTAGTTTAACATCACACACAGTATCCCTGGCAGTTAATATTCATATGCAAAGCTAGAATTTCATACTAGCTTGCAAGTTATATGTATACTTGACCACAATAAAGTAAAGACAAGCTCCATAAACATTTGCAACAATTGCATATTTTACTATTAAAATATTACTGACCTGCAGGCCTCTAATTCCTCTTGTTCCAACTGACCCCTCAGGACCCTGAAGTGTATTATATAAGGAAGAGCATGAGATCAACCACTGTATGTACAGTAAGTAGGAATTATTAAACTGAAAACATAATATTCAGTATGTGTAGTGTCAACAGTGCTGTCATACCCTGTCTCCTTTGATTCCTGGAGTCCCGCATTCACCCCTCTCACCCTGTGTAGGAATTACAAGTATTGCACGGGCTCGATTCCAACAAAATAAAATGTTATCATTGTCATTTATCTAAATCACATACCTTCTCTCCTTTGTAACCTGGTTTTCCCTGCAAATAAAATAAATGAGATGTTATGTGTGAATAAATTACAGAGGCTGTAATGAATATTTTATTAATGTTGTTCATGAATTGTGGCATTTACCTCAGCTCCCTCTCGCCCGGGAAGACCACTCAGTCCTGCTTCACCCTGATATGACAGAAAGTTCACTATCTCATTATATCAATGAATAAGAGCTTATCCAAGCTACTGTAAATAACTAAATACAGAGTAAACATTCTGAAACTGCTGGTATGAACAGATTTAGAAGAAAAACAAACAGAAAAAGAGATAAAAAAATGAAACATCCTGCATTTAGCCAAGGTTTTACCTACTGTAGCAACAGTTAATGGACTGAAACCATAAAGATTAAGACATAAAGAATGAATTGGTGTTGAATAAATTGACTGTTTCTGATTATTCATAATTCATCCTAATAATTTCTAACAGATAAGTATTTTATTTTATGACTGGTCAATATTATTTATAACATAGGAAAAAAAATATTTTAAAACAACAAATGTTTTTTAAAAAGTCTGTCTAGATCTTTAAATGTAATAATGCTTATTTTTTAAATAACACTGAGATGTAAAAATCTTACAACTGAGTGTATTTGTTGAATTTTAAGGTAAGGGTTAAAATGATGGCCACATATCTGGCACATGACAATCACAATTTACAGATACTGGATGACCCGGTTCAGGTTCAAGTTTTTCCCAAAATGTAATTTATGTGTGGAGCAATCAGGAAGTATTATATAACTCCTGACAGAGCCCGGCAGCTAAGAAATCCATAGTACATATGGCCATCAAAAAGCACGCACCTTTAACCCTTTAAGCCCCGGGGCTCCATCGTCTCCGGACCGACCCTTTTTCCCCTGGAGAATGAAACAAAGTTATGGTTGAGGTTTAATCATTTATTCCATTGACATTTTGCTCTCTTCTTGGTGTGCATAAAAATAATTATTAGAGAAAGGTCACTGGGCTGATGTCTGAATGCATCCTACATATGTGCTTATGGATGTGAGGACTGTATGATAATTGAAGCTATAGGTGGGCATGAGGTGTCTTGTCCACAGGGCCAGGGGTCATTGTCTTGAGCTGCACCTGGACTGTGTGTGTCAGTTGCTTTCCACCAGAAATCACTAGTTTGTGACCATTAAACTAATGAGAGCAATTATGAGAGCCTCCTAGTCTGAGTGTAAGAATTTGAAGAATCTTTGAGGAGAAAGCACCTGGTTCATGACAACAGAGCTGTCTGTCAGCAACATGATTATCTGCCAGGTTGCTGCAAAGCTTGACATTACATTGAGGGGACTATTTTCTGACGAGCAGAGGGGCTTGAGTGGAAGTGTGTTGAGTGGGGTGTCTAGAGAGGGTGGGGTCATCTTCTTCTGGTCCCTCTATCCCTAAGTAACT